AGGGATTTAATCAGCTAAAGTTGCCTCACTTTAGAAATTCGAAACCAATTCTTTCAAGCTAGGATTTGGAATATACTGAAGGAAAGCTTTGACAACATTAAAAAGGATTGAATAACACAACAGAAAACTTTGACTACACAGCAAAAAAATAATTTTGATATCACGTCAAAGTGGATGCACTACAATCATGTCGAAAATATGGTGTAATATAACTTGCTAAAAAGGACAAAATTATCATTAATACAATGCATGAACTGACATTACGCTGCTTTTACTACATTTGTTTATTTATGTGGTCATAAAAATTACATGAAATTTTCGACATGATTGTAGTGCATCCACTTTGATGTGATATCAAAATTATTTTTTTGCTGTGTATATGTTTTGTATTACTTCTGCGTGAAGTCAATAATTTACATAGTTGAAAATGCTAATTTCAAATAACAGAGTGGTTATTTTTATACGATAGATGAGGAGATGAAAGTATAGGATAAACTCTAACGGAACTATCAACCCTATACTTTCATTTCTTCATCTATCGTATAAAAAATACCCCTTTAGTCTGTTATTTGAAATAAGCATCTTCAACTATAACAGGAAAGTTTTTACTCATTTAGAAAAATGTTAATGACTTATTCGCAAGTTTGAACTCACTTCAAACAAATTCAGACTCAGTTTTGAATCTGCCGTGAAAAGTGTCACCTCAGTTAGGAATTTCCTGAATCGTTTCTGATTTTGTCCCACTTCTAAAAAATTTAAACCAATTTCGAAAAGAAAAAAAAAAAAAAAAAATAACACATCGCTGATATTTTGATACGTTGTATAAAAAAAACCTTAATTTTCAAGGAAATATATAAAAACATATTGCGCCGTCTGTCTACAAACCATGAATACCATAATAAAAACAAATACAATGAATGATTTTCAGTAAAAAAAAGGCCACATCTAAATGTATCATTTAATTTTCTCTGAAAATTATTTTTAATAACCTTTCATTTGATATTTTGATCTTTGAAATCAACCAAGTGGTTCAAAATATATAATTTTTTAAAGTAATAAAAAAAAAACAAAATATTTACTTTTTTAGCATTCTTACATATAAATGGTCACCCTTATGACAAAATAATAAAATAATGGTCATATATTTTACGAAAAGAAACAAAACTACCGATTTAATGAAATTCTGAGAACCACTGTATCGGTTTGCTATGGAATGGCTGCAAAGATATTATTTATAGAAATCTCAAAAATTCAGGGTTGAAGTCCCAGAGGCTTAGAAAAAATTCCAAAAGGCATCCATTCTGTGCTTTGGCAAAACTTGATTCACACAAAAATGCAATAACTGCTGTTTCCATGATCCCAGGCTTGGTAGAGATCTAAAAATACTAGTATTTCTTAAATCAAGAGCTTGGAAGTGTTGCTGTTTGAATATTTCAAGAACATGGAACTGGAAATGTTTCATAATTCTGCCTTGATTAATTGTCTTTTTCATCTTAAAAATGCTGAAGTTCCCGAAAAAATTTCAAAGTTCCGGGCTTTATAAAAAGAGGTGAATTATTTAACATAAAATTCAGAATTTAATTTTGGCCTTTATTTGGAAAACATGTTTAGCACCTTGTACTAAGAAAATTATTCAAGAATATGAGATTAGGCCTCTTTTGAATGTTGCAAACGCTAAAAATATACCCGGACATGGATTTTTATCAATATATTTCATGGAACATTATGTAGTATTCAAAAAATTCTGAATAAAATATTTGTTACAAATGGGAAATTTTGAAGAATGGAAAGTGGTTAAGAAGTTTTGGAGAGATTTCACAAACTATTTTCAATGAAAGTCAAAAATGTTAGCTACTTTTCTCGTTGTAGTGGAAGAAAAAATCTCAAAATATTGTTTTATATAGAAGTTCGAGTGGTAAATAGTAAACGCTTGAATAGATTGAATGAAGTTTAACTGTTTTCTGACAAAGTTCAATCTTGTATGAGTCATTCCAGCTCAAGTGGGTACAGAATTGAAAAAAGTTGTGGTCGATGTCACCGATTTGATTGATTGATTGATTTATCTTTATTAAGGAGGCTGGTTCGCCTCCAATATCACCGATTTGAGCCAAACTTGGCCAAAACGCTTATTTTAGCAATGTGAACAAACGCCGTTTTTGATTTTACTCAAAAGTTCCTTGATCCTTCTCGGCTATAACTCTTGATTTCCTATAACTTCTAAAAAAAATCATCTTTCAGAAGAAAGAGAACATGTACAAGAAGAACATGACAGTTACGTTCATGAATAGAAAGCGTGTTTTCAAAAAATGACAAATAAAGGTTCAACGTTTATTTTTCTTTATATTTATAATAAAAAAAGCATTCTTGCTGGTGAGATTGTATCTAAAAAAAAATTAATTAAAGGGTATTATTCAAGTAGCAGCTGTCACCCCAAACTGAAATTTTATATATGTACCTGTTAATCTATCTGATTTCATCGTATTTCTAAAGCACAACGTTTTGGCTGTATCTCATAGGAACGTATTTTTCACTTTTAGGACCACAATTAAATTATAAACAGAAGTAAATAAATGAGCTAGTTATGATTTCATATACTGAGAATCCTGCGCAGAACATGTGAAAAATAACATTAAAATATGATTGTGCTATCGGCGTGAAGGAATTCAAGCAAAAATAAAAAAAATAATATTAAAAAGCATTGATTTTCTACTAGTAAACCTCGAAACAACCACTCACTCATCTGGTCATAGCTCAAAAATTATTTGTCCAAATCATTTGGTCTTAAAAACACATCAAGTAGAAAATGTTTCCAAAGTGTGATTATAATTCGAGCCCACAATATTAAAAAATAAAAAATCCCACCCATGGTGAAAATAAGCCATTTTTTGACAATTTGGATACCTGCCGGTAATCAGCCTGTCTACTGTAGTTACTATAACAAAAATAAAATGTGGGTACACTCATGATAATCTACATTAAAACACCTTCAAATTGACGTCCTAAGATCACGAATAGATTATTTGGTTGCGGAGTAATCTCTTCTGAAAGATGACATTTCTAAAAATCTCGAATATCCAGGGTTGTAGCCGAGAGGGATCTAGGCACTTCAGAGCAAAATCAAAAAAGCGTTTGTTCAGAATGCCAAAATAAGTGTTTTGGCCAAGTTTGACTCAAACCGGTGACATCGACCACAGGTGGTGTACCCATTTGAGCTGGAATGACCCATATTGAAGTTGGCGAATGGATTCCGGGGAAACATTATACAATCGCTTATGACACGGTTCCGTTTCGTAATCTAAAAAAACGAGTTATACCATGTTGATTTGCAAACAGTAAATGAAATCCATTCGTAAACATTAGGCAATATTTTTTGAAACTATGCCAGATATCATGCTTTAGTTTTAAACAATCAAATCATTTGAGTTTTGTGCAGAAGCATAATATGCACAAAACTTTATTCAGTAGTTACTCGACAACCAAACCAAACTGCGCGGTGAGCGTCCAGAAGCTCTGAAAATTCCCATTCTCAACGTAGCCATTCAAGCGATCCAACTTTGTAGAGGCCGGCAGGCTGGGATGCAACCAATGCACTCTAATGTGATTGTGTTTGTCTGCGTCCACTTTTCACAGAAGCCACACCGAGAGTGAGATGTAATTTGCATATTGGACTACCGCACACATCCACCGTAGAAGCACACGCAAAAGTCGGGCACTTTACTCTGTGTTTGGCAAATGGTTCATATACCTAGAGGTACGTTCTACGTTCTGAATGTTTATGAGGTGCCCCCTCCAGGCAGGACCGACCGACCGGTGTCGGCAGCCAGAACCCCCTGCAGAGTGATGGCCTTGGTTAGTTGCCACCGTTTCCGCTGCATCGGGCTCGCACATGGCTGCAATGAGCGTAATTATTTTAAATCATAATTAAAATTTCCAGAGTCGAATCATTTCGATAAATTATGGATGGTTTGCAGATGACTCGCTAGCAGGCGGTGTGTGATTTGGTGCCATGGTGATATTTCAACTCGAGGGAACACGTTTCGAGGAATTTCAGCGAATATCGAAACGCACATATTTTGATTTTGAGCAACGATGCAGAATAAAGTGTTAATTGAACGAGGAAACATGTGGCACACAGACGAGTTCGATTTGATTGGGTCTATATTTGTAGAAATCTAACTTGCCTGCACACTTAGAAAAATTCATGTAAATTTGGGTGCTCTGAGAGTGACATATACGAGCGTCAATTTTGACTTAAATTTGAGTCATAACAGACGCGAAATTCAGCTCAATCAAACGTACTTTCGAACATTTCAGTCTCGGAGCACTTAATTTTACATGACACGTTTGTTAACGTCTCATCCTTTATGTCAAAGATGGATTCCGTAACGTGTAAAAATAAGTATTTCTAAGTGTGTGGGAGTTGTTTTTTCCAAAACAAATTTTAGCAATTCAATGAGCTCAAGTAAATATCTGTCGTTTATGTGTCCGATTCAGGGTTGTTAATCATACAGCGTTATCGTTGCAATGCAGATGTTAACGCAGACATTATCGACGGATATCGATTAACAACCCTTCATTCAGTGTTTTCAGTTGCTAGCAAACTCGTAGTAGAACAGAAAATTCGGTTGAAATTAAATTAAGATATTTAAATGTCACATCGAACATAAATGCTCCTCCCACTTTAGCCCTCGCCCAATCCTCCCGCTCATCAGAAACGATATGCTGGATCCTGTGCCACCAGGCCATAAAAAGCGAGCAGTGCTTTTAATACCACCAGTCTACCATTGCCGTCGACACATCCCTTGGCTCTTTGTCCCCGGTTCACTCTCCGCTTCCATATCTCCTTTACTTACGGCATGGCCAGGTCTCAAACTTTCCGACCAGAAGAGCAGAGGGGGGCTTAATGTATGTAATTTGTTCGACATAAAATAAACTTTTTTATCTGCGTCCTGCATCTCTAACTCGTTCTTCTCTCTGTTCTGGTTTCATTTTCATTTCAGGTTTCTGCTTCTGTTCTCACCCTTCACCAAGGGGGCCAGCGAATCTTTGGCAGTTAATGGCGGTTGCTCCCGAGCCTTCCGGTGTTGTCTGTGCCAGAGAGGTCGCCGGGTGATAAAAACCGGAACAGCAAACGACAACAACAATTACTCAACTGTGAATTCCGAAAAAGCACTCTGCAGAGCGTGACATAAATTAAGGGAACACGCTCGACGAGAGGTTGCAACACAGGATATAAAGCAAATAAATAATCATCATTATTATCATAAAACATAAAACGCCACGGTAGATTCGGAAAGGGCGTTCCGAGGTTGCGAAAGGGTAAATTGGTTGTCGCCCTGTATGACCAAATTGTGTAAAGTGATGGTTGCAACAGCAAACAGCATAAAACGGCATCTCTCATTAAGTCATCAAAAACTAGTGAATAATTTAGTGTAAGAGCACTTTGGGAATGGAGTGATAAAAATTAAAGAGCATTTAATGAAAATTTAAACCAAGAGCCAAGCACAGACCCGTCTATCCTGCCCGGGAAAGTTTCCACTTCATCCGACTCGTTCTAGCTGCTCTCTATCCCGATCCTTCCTGACTCCGTCTGCCGGTTGGCTTCGAGCGCTCCCTGGCTTACGGGCACCCATTCGTGCATGTGCAAAAGTCAACACAGCAGAAATTGGAGACATCCTGTTCTCCCGCACTCTTGCTCCGATTCCATCCAAAACTAATTCTCGTGTACATGAGATTAAAGTGTTTACTCTGGAACGTCGAATATAAACTCTATCGTCATCTTTCCTACTCGCTTCGGCTGCTCCAGAACTGTGAAAGCACGACTGTAGTGGCAGCAACTTCCTATACTACAACGTCCTATCCTCGTAACAAGCGATTTTTAAGGCTAAACTTTCATCCTCTCCGATCGCCCGATAAACCACCTAGCACCAGCGTGGGGAATAAGTGCTCATAAAATAATAGCAGTGACTACATGCAATCAGAGTTTTACCGAAGAACAAAGTGTCTCCCCGAAGCAGAAAGTGGGGGAAAATTGAAGTGAAGTGATTTGTGGTTCCCTGGAACGTTTCGCAGCATCGCATCTGATGGATTACACTTGTCGTCGTTAGGAACGCAGGTGATGACGTCATGATACCAACGACCGATCAGCGAATTTGGATTATATTTTGTTGGTACCTTGTCTTAACATGTAAGTATTGGAGAGTCATTGCAAGTACATTTTGTGAACTATTATTTAATTGCATCATGGACGTTTATGTAAATTATTCATTCATATTCTGAAAGTAATCATAGTTTGGTTGCGAGGGTCAACGTTATCGCCTATCAGCTTCAGAAGTACGTTGGGATGTCCAATTACTGCTCAATTGCTAGAAATTATCGATTATTACTGAAAACAGTTGATTGCCGTAAGCATCGATTATCCGTTATTCGATTAGTAAGGAGCAATTATTGTTCGAATATTTTGCTTTTTTCATTGAAAATTGTCGATCTATCATTACCGTAATGGAAATTTATTAAAGCACCATCAAAAAATCTGAATAAATTGTTTTGAAGTATGCTGGATTTAATTTTTAAGGATCTTTTAATGTGGTTTTATTGTACGAGGTTTATTTAGGCGAATCTCATGGTATTAACTGAGGTCAAAGCTGAAATGCTCTACAATAAATTTTTTTCATAGCTTCTTGAAACCTGGGTGAGGTGGATCTGAAATAATCGTGCTCTCTATAACTAAAACAAGTGAATAAAAAAGCTTGCAGAAAAATGTATATTTTTTTATATCTTTATTAAGAAGGTCTTTAAGCCTTGGGCTGGTTCGTCTACGGCAGGAAACATGTCATGAATGCATGGGGTAAATGTAAATGTCCTAGGAGTTTCGCCTAGTGTTCATATTGGTTGAATTCGATGTGATGCGGAAGACGTTACGACTATTAACGGTGCGGAGGAATCTATCGTAGAGATGCTGGATTAGATTTAACGCTTCTATTGATTAATGATAGCTTCTTCGGTGATGAGTGGTGATAAGACAGAATGTCATGGAGAGAGAAAAGGGATTTAACAAGAACAATGGTATTATTTGCAGCAGAATAAGTCTATGCCCTCTAAAAAGTTATGTTTAACGTGAATTGGAATTTAAAGTAAAGTGTTAGCCTACCCTAATATGATTTAAAATATGAATTTAAGATTTCGTTAGTTCAAAAGATGTTGATATTTCTTAATATAAAGAGAGAGAGAAGGATTAGTAATTTTCATTTAATTCTACTACCTTATTTGCTTATCCTTGACAGATACGCGTATTTCGTCTACAATGTGCAGGCTTCTTCAGTGTCTTGTACTATTACTCGACTCGAGTTCTAGAGAAATACAAATCCTTTTCTCTCTTTATATAGGTATTCCACTAAGATATCAATTCATCAGGATTGATATTTCCTATTAAATATTTAAGATTACATAAACATTACAATTTCTAGGTTAGTCATCCATGCAATGTTAATATTTTTCGATACACTATTGAATTAACACTTAAACTTACTGCTACACTACGACCTGTGAGTAAATCTAAAACCTTATTGCCTAGCTTAATACTAAGGTCTTAAATCTAACCTATTCTAGGTAAAGTGTCTAGGAAAGAGTGCAGCTATCACAGGCTAAGCAGGCGTAGAATTTTACAGTAGAATCACTGATTTGTGAGTACACATTCTAATATTATTTAGAGCTTATCAATTAAGACAAATTTATATTTTACCTTTACAGCATTCTCTAATGACGGATTTCACGCCAACTCATCCAGTGGTTGGCAGCACCCTCTCAGAACCTTATGAAACTTTGTGGGTGTGGAGACTTAGCAATTTTAAGCAACTTTGCGTACTTATTTTTTTCAAAATTTATCTCGCCTAACATTTGATAAGGGTCAAAGTTTTTTGTCGATTTTTTTTTCAAATCGATATAGCTTAAAAATGACAAGCCCTAAACTTTTAGCAAATAATCTGAAATTTTATAAAAAAATTTAAATAAATTAAAAAATTGGTTTCTACACTCTAAAAAAATATATTTAAAAATTAAAAGCCATTTTCCCAAAAATGGTACCCCTCAGATTTGGTTGATATTTTTTTCTCATGAAAGGCAATATAATTACCTAACTTTTCTTCATACATCGCAAAGTGGGCGCTTTTAAGGAAAAAAAAGTTGTTCGAACAACAACTTTTTCATGTTAATTTTTTTTTAGCGTGTTTCACTTAAAGTCGAATAGTAATACGCGCACAACCTTATTAAAATCCGTTGAAACTTAATGAGCATAAAGATTTTGACCTTTTGATAATCTGGGCGTGCTTAAAACAAAAATCTAGCCTAACATTTGAAGGGCCTAATACAGAGGATTTTCCGGCATTTCGAATGGTGTTTTAATAAATGAAAACTCTAGTGTTTTTGTTTAGTGCATAATTTATTTTCCTATAATTCTCCATACATAATTTGAGTTTTTCATTGATTATTAGTCTATCGGAAACAGAGTGAAATTTTTCGGAGTTTCCTTTGAATGTGAAAATCGCTTAGTAGAAATTATGTTTTGAGAAATAGGTACAAAACAATGAAATTTTTGTGTACCAGGTATAGTTTTTACATGACTGAACAGCTCCTTGAGTTCATCGGACATCTTTGTGTATTGATCATTTGATATGAAGCAGAAGTTCAATTTTGTTATGCTTGTATCTGTTTGTTTAACTGCCCAGTCATACAGTTCTTGTGGAGTTGTGATTGTGTTTCCATAATCTCGAGCAAGACTTGCTCTCTTTGCCATTCGTTTGAGAGTTCCTCCAATTGCGTCACATGGGCCTTTCCCATGAGACGTTGCGAAGAAGTGCCGCTGCTCCATCTGACATGAAAGTAATTTTTGTGAAACTAATAGATTGTTTAATGAAATCTAACAATTTTGATATAAATAATTGAACTGCTATTGTATCATGGGTCAATACTTCTGAAATAATAATAAAGCTTAAATTTTCCAACTTGTTTTCTTTTATGTAGTAAATTTCGAAAGGATGTATCGTAGCTTGATTATTGTTCCAATGATACCCCTGTGCTGAGTTTTGAATAATAAATGAATAATTTTCAGAAAAGTCGCAAATCACTAAAATTTCACCGTTTTGAAGAGAATTTTTTTTATTCCTTAGTTAAGATGATTGCTCTTTATGAATAAAATCATGGGTTATGAGCTTTTCAACTTTTTCCGTCAAATATTGAACAAACTCATCTGCAGGTTTAATAATAGTTTCCAAATTACAACGGTCGGTAGTCAACCGCGGCTGCAATTGGGATTGTTTATGTTGGCACTACATTGCACCCTTTTAATAATCAATTCAGCAGATTTTTCCATTGTTGTATATATAAACACTTTTTCGTTTCAACAACTATGCAGCACTACACTTTCAACAACTATGCACTACAGCAACTATGAGCATTGTTGTGATATCACCAAACTTAAATATTAGATTATGTCGGTAGAAACAGACTGCGGTGCTTTAAGTTTATACCTTATATCTCTCATGTGACTACCTGCGTTGTTATATAACTGCTATATAGCAGGTAACTTAACGATTATTTTAGGCATGCCTTAAATAATCGTTAAGTTACCTGCGCTATTATATGTATTCACTTGAGAGATGAGGTATAAACATATATGCATATTGCTTACTAATGGACACACCTAATACATAAAAATAAATGAATGATTATTTTTCTAATTAAATTAATCACAAATACATGAATTGAAATCTTTTCATGGATAAAACATACTAAGTGATTTTTACTTAGTTTACCTGTTGATTTGGAACAATTTGAGGGTGGTTTTATAGAAGTTGGATAGAGTGTATGCATATATTATAATACAATCCATCACAGGAAAGTGCAAACCATGCTGAGATGGCTGTTCCTCATTAGAACGTTTTGTTCTGAACTCTTATTGGACGATTTGCAGGTAACTTCTCTGTACCCTTTTCAAATGTTAGGCTAGATTTCGCCCAGATTATCGAAAAGTATACCCATAAAGTTTAATCGAATTTTAATAAGGTTGTGCGCGTATTACTATTCGACTTTGAGTGAAACACGCTAAAAAAAAATTAACATGAAAAAGTTGTTGTTCGAACAACTTTTTTTCCTTAAAAGCGCCCACTTTGCGATGTATCAAGAAAAGTTAGGTAATTATATTGCCTTTCATGAGAAAAAAATATCAAGCAAATCTGAGGGGTACCATTTTTGGGAAAATGACTTTTAATTTTTAAATATATTTTTTTAGAGTGTAGAAACCGATTTTTTATTTTATTTAAATTTTTTTATAAAATTTCAGATTATTTGCTAAAAGTTCGCCATACATCACTATTTTGTAGGGCTTGCCATTTTTAAGCTATATCGATTTGAAAAAAAAAATCGACAAAAAACTTTGACCCTTATCAAATGTTAGGCGAGATAAATTTTGAAAAAAATAAGTACTCAAAGTTGCTTAAAATTGCTAAGTCTCCACACCCACAAAGTTTCATAAGGTTCTGAGAGGGTGCTGCCAACTCCGAAGACGAGTTGGCGTGAAATCCGTCATATACGGATTGCTAATAGAACCGTGTGCTGTGCCATCACAATGGAATATTGCGTGTACTCTAGACACCTTATGCAGTGCCGTTTTAACGGAAGGAGGCTCAGAGACTTGATGCCTCATATAAAATGTTTCAAGAAATTAATCGTTAGTTATTTTTTGTATTTGTATCGAACACTAAAGCACTGAAAACTCGAATCAATAAATCATACAAGTTGAAAATATGAACTATTAGATTACAGAAGAACATTAGTGCAGTTTGACCGGTAGCGTGGCCAAAATCTCTAGAGCCGTGGGCATATATTCTACAGCTCTACGGTCTTCGACCAAGTTGCTCGGTTTACAAAGCACCAACTTTTTAAGGTTTTGATTGGTTATTGTTCCCACTGCATAGAATGCCCTCTATTTTATCTTTAAAATAGAGTGCTCTAGGGAGAGGGTTTCTTGGATAAAGTTTTGCCTTTCCTATGATTTACAAAAAGCAGGTCTACATATAAAAATACCGTATTGAAGGCGTTTTCACCATTATTAAGGTATAAGGTGAGATTCTAGGATTGCGATACTATTGGGTTGGGACAAGATGGAACAACTAGGTAAACTCACGGAGCATT